CAAAGCATGTATCTGAGGAGGGTTTAATATGATGAATATATAAAGAACTCCTAAACTCAACGAAAAGACAACCCAATTGAAAAATGGGCAAAGGATCTGAATAGACACTTCTCCAAAGAACAGCCAATAAGCACGTGAAAAGATGCTTGATAACACTATGATTAGGGAAATGCAAATCAAAACCACATAAGATACCACTTCACATTCCCTATGATAGCTAAAATAAAAAAGATAGACAACAGGGGCACTTGGGTGGCTCAGTCAGTTAAGCCTCCGACTCTTGGTTTCGGCTCAGGTCATGATCTCAGGGTCATGAGATCCAGCCCCACATCATCTCCGTGCTCAGTGGGGAGCCTGCTTGAGATTCTCTCTCCCTCTCCCTCTGCCCCTCCACCCTGCCCTGCACAGTCTCTCTCTCTCTCAAATAATCTTTTTTTTTTTTTTTTTTTTCAATGTAGACAGGGGCACCTGGGTGGCTCAGTCAGTTAAACATCTGCCTTCAGCTCAGGTCATCATCTCAGGGTCCTGGGATCAAGCCCCAACTCTTGATAAATATGTACCCACTTAAAAACCTATTAAAAGTCTGCTTCTCCCTCTCCCTCTGCTCCTCCCTGCCCCCAGCTCATGATCTCTCTCTCTCTCTCTCAAATAAATAAAATCTTTTTTTTTTAAGGTAGACAATTTAAAAAAAGGTAGACAATAATAAGTGTTGACAAGAATGTAGAGAGATTAAAACCCTTGTACACGGCTAGTAGGATTGTAAAATGGTACAACCACCTTGGAGAAGTTTGAGAGTTTCTCCAAGTGTTAAACATAGAGTTTCCAGATGACTCAAATCTTACTCCTTGATATAAACCTAAGAGAACTGAAAACATACGTCCACACAAAAAAAATGGTACACAAATATCCATAACAGCATTATTCATAATAGCCAAAAAATGTAAACACAAATGTCCATCAGTGGATGAATGGAAAACGAAAATAAGGTATATCCATCAGTACAATGGAATATTATTCAGCCATTAAAAAATGAAGTACTAATACATGCTACATCACGAATGAACCTTGAAAGCATTATGTGAAGTTGAAAGAAGCCAGACACAAAAAGCCACATATTAGAGGCACCTGGCTGGCTCAGTCTGTGGAGTATGTGACTCTTGATCTTGCAGTTGTAGGTTCAAGTCCCATGTTGGGTATAGAGATTACTTAAAAATAAAATCTTAAAAAAAAAACAAAAACCCACATACTGTATGACTCCATTTATATGAAATGTCCAGAATAGGCAAATCCATAGTGACCAAAAATAGATTAGTGGTTACCAGGGCCTGGGGGAAGAAAGGAATGGGGAATAACTGTTAGTAAGTATGGGTTTTCTCAATGGAGTGATGAAATGTTCTGGAATTAGATAGTGGTGACAGCTGCATAACCCTATGAGTATACTAAAATCCACTTTATTAAAGGGTGATTTTTATGTTGCATAAGCTACATATCAATAAAGAGCCCATAAGAAATCAAGATGTTTGATAAATGTCAGTTTTATCTATTAAATGTCATGTTTTATGGTAATTAAATTTTCACTAAAAATGTAAATTTAGCTGTTTGACACATTTTTGTACTTCATGGAAGAATTATACTAGCAAACATAGTATGGTTGACTCATTCTTAAGAGGTCCTACATAGCATAAAAAGCTTACCTACATAAATTTTTGTATATTCTCACATTAAAAAACCACACACACAGGGGCACCTGGCTGGCTCAGTCAGAAGAGCATGGAACTCTTGATCTCAGGGGTAGTGAGTTGGAGCCCTACGTTGGGTGTAGAAATTACTAGAAAAAACAAATTTAAAAAACCCCACATAGACAATAAAGACAGTCTGATAGCTGGAGCTATCAGCAGAGCTGTCAGCTTCCCTGGGATAAATAAAATGGATAAACTTGACCCTGAGAGTGAGATTAGCATGCCAGAGGGTTTGGGAAAGGGCACTTGGGATCAACACCATGGAGAGGAGGGGAAGGAAGCAGGATAGAGGAGGGGGAGAAGGTGGACTGTGATGAAGTCTCAAGGTTGGTCCCAGGGGACCCCATAGGAAACTCTAAAGCTGGATGGCCCTTCAGCATTGTCCCGAGTTGGGGCAAGGAGGCTGGGCCCTTTATATCTCCATCTTGATTAGTCCCTGGATGCAGGATGCCTGGGGAAGGCAAATAGCTCTTTTCATTCAAGTAACTCCTAAAGGAACTGACAGCGGAGGGCTTCTTGCTGGTGGTACTCCCAATGACTATAGGATTTAGTGCATTCCTAAAGGGGGCCCTGGATGGTGTATCACTGCCTCCACAACCTATGCTAAAATGCTTAGGAAGAAAACTAGCACTTACCAAGAACTATGTACCAACCACTTTCATAGACATTATCCCATTCAATCTCATAACCAGTGGTTACTCAATCTCAAGGCCACATACTTAATGATGTTAGTGGGAGAAGGAGCCATATCTGACTCCAAAGCTCTTTCCTCCATATCAAATTTGCCAAGGGGCTCTGAAAATTGGATATTTCAGAAATATTTATTGATCCATGTCTTAAAATTGACATCTTCAGGGCACCTGAGTGGCTCAGTGGGTTAAGCATCTGCCTTAGGCTCAGGTCATGATCCCAGGGTCCTGGGATGGAGCCCCGCATCGGGCTCCATGCTCAGCGGGAAGCCTGCTTCTCCCTCTCCCTCTGCCTGCCGCTCCCCCTGCTTGTGCTCTCTCTCTCTGTCAAATAAATAACATCTTTTTAAAAAATTGACATCTTCTTGGGGTACCTGGCTGGCTCAGTGGGTGGAGTGGGTGACTCTTGCTCTCAGGGTTGTGAGTTCGAGCCCCACATTGGGTATAGAGATTACTTAAAAATAGAATCTTTAAAAAACCGACATCTCCTCAACATCTATTATGTACCAGGTGCTGGGAAATTATAGAAAAAAAGACAAAATGTCTGCCACAGAATTAACAGCCCACATGAGGTCAAGAATATAGAGACAGGGGCGCCTGGGTGGCTCAGTTGGTTAAGCGACTGCCTTCGGCTCAGGTCATGATCCTGGAGTCCCGGGATCGAGTCCCGCATCGGGCTCCCTGCTTGGCAGGGAGTCTGCTTCTCCCTCTGACCCTCCTCCCTCTCATGCTCTCTGTCTCTCATTCTCTCTCTCTCAAATAAATAAATAAAATCTTTAAAAAAAAAAAGAATATAGAGACAAATCAGCATGTCCTTCATTTTTCTTTAACCATATTCAGCTGACTGGGTGCAGGAGCAGAGTGGTGGAGAGTTGAACTCAACTGGGATTGAAGTTTTGCCAGATGAGTACTATAAGGCAAGAGAGGTTCAAGGAAATTGAGAGAATATTCATGAAAATGTATTATTTTTAGCTTATTTACTTTGCTGTCAACTATATTCAATAGTAGAAAGAATAATATAATGAACCCCCATGAGTCCATCACCCAAATCCAACAATAAAAAACATTTTACAATCTTCTTTCATCTATTCCTCCACACACTTTCTCTTCAAGAATTTTTTTTTAAGATTTTATTTTTAAGTAATTTCTACACCCAACATGGGGCTCACAACCTTGAGATCCAGAGTCATATGCTCCACGGACTGAGCCAGGCAGGCACCCTTCTCTTTAAGAACTTTAAAGCAAATCCCAGACATCATACCAGTTCACCCATAAATACTTTGCGATGTATCTCTAAGTTCTTTTTTTAAAGGACTTTTAAAAACCATAATCACAATGCCTTTCTCACATATGACTAACAATAATGCTTCAATCTTAACTAATTCTCAGTCTATATTCAAATTTTGCAAAGAAATGATAATGATTGGCAATGAACTTAAGCTGGCTAGGGAGAGAGAATAAGGGAGGCTCTGGAGTTAGGGACCATGGAAATGTGGCTAGATCAATAGATTGAAGGTCCTGGCGGGTGGGCACATTATTGGAGTTAGAAGCCCACAGGGAGTGAACTGGGGGAATTGGGGGTAGTCCCACTTTCATTTGCGTCTATGGCTCCATCACAACAGTCTTCTTTTCCAGTTGATTAGGTGAGACAAACTCCTTCCAATCTGATCTCTTTCCCACAATCTCATCTATTTTATCGCCAGCACCTGATAATCTCGGGAGGCTCTGCAGACTAAATTAGGTCCTCCTTGTATACACTTGGTACTTCTTCGGAGCACTTCTTTTTTTTTTTTTTTTTTTTAAGATTTTATTTATTTATCTGACAGCGAGAGAAGAAACACAAGCAGGAGGAGTGGGAGAGGGAGAAGCAGGCTTCCCGCTGAGCAGGGAGCCCGATGCGGGGCTCGATCCCATGACCCTGGGATCATGACCTGAGCCGAAGGCAGACGCCTAACGACTGAGCCACCCAGGCGCCCCCTTCGGAGCACTTCTAATCATAATCTCAAAACTATAGGAACACGTATTTGTTTGAGGTCTAACTCCATTAAGACCTGTCTCCTTTGTTCACTGCTGTCACTGCCAACGCCTAGCACAGCGTCAGTAGGGCACACTCCGTAAATTCTTGTTGGACAAAGGAGGGAGGGTGTTCAATAATGCCAAATGCCAGACTTCTAAACCCACCTGTAACACGGCCTCTAAGAAAGCTTCTAAATTATTTACTCTTAAGTGACGGTCGCCATTTCTTCACTTGTAAAAGGATATAACTTAGGAGGGCCAGATCAGTTAATTAAGACTAAATTTGGCACCTCATCCCTGTCGAATTTGGAGAAACTGCACTCTAAAAATCCCCTATCAGCCCAAATACGATAGTACATAAAGAAAACGATTAACCTAGGTTTAAACACCAGGGCCTCCCGTGGTAGTTCGCCTCGTTCTAAAATGAGGTTTTACCTCGTTCTAAGATGGCCACGAAGGGGGGGCCCCGCGGTCAGCTTCTCTGAGTCGCGTGGGCAAACGCGCGGGACCGCGACTCAGAGGAGGATCTTAACCGCGCAGAACGGAAGTTCCTGAGCCTTCAAATCCGCGGGGAAGCAACTCGGCAATGGACCAAGATGGCGGCGCCCAGTGAGGGGCAAGCGTTTGCCGCGGGCGTTGAAAAGAATTGGGGTGCGGTTGTTCGCTCCCCAGAGGGGACTCCCCAAAAAGTCCGGCAGCTGATAGATGAGGGGATTGCCCCGGAGGAGGGAGGCGCGGAAGCGTGAGTTCGCGAGTCCACCCTGGGTCCGGCGCCGGCGAATTGGAGAGGGTTTGGGGAACGCAGGCCTGGCGGGGGGAGGGGGATCCCCTGGGTTGGCAACTCGGTTGGGGGGGTTGGCTACGTCAGGGCTTGTGAAAGAGAATGGGTTTGCTACGTTCACTCGGCTTTAATCTTATCGGGATGTACTGCATTCCGTACCACGGGCGGATTTTTGCCACTAGACAGGTTTTGGAGGGAAGGAAAAAAAAGAGGACCGCTAACTGAATATGCACCTGACATCTCAGTTGGGTTTCTTAACCTTTTCTTGAGCCTTAGACACCTTTGGCAGCCGGGTAAAGCTTATGAACCCCTTCTCAGAATATTTTTAAGTGCCTGAAGTAAATTACATAGGATTCTAAAGAAAAACAACAATTACGTTGGAATGCAGTTATCAAGAGTAAAATTTAAAAAGTGATGCAGTGGGGTGCCTGGGTGGCTTAGTCGGTTAAGCGTCTGCCTTCCGCTGGGGTGGTGGTCCCAGGGTCTTGGGATCAAGCTCCGTATGGGGCTCCTTGTTCGGAGGGGAGCCTGCTTCTCCCTCTTCCTCTGCCCCTCCCCCTGGTTGTGCGCTCTCTCCCTCTCTCTCAAATAAAATCTTTTTTAAAAAAAGTGATGCAGTAACATGGTTCATTATTAGAGAGTTAATTAACATCTAGTAATGTCTGGTATCTACCATAATTCTGAAGTAATCATAAACATAAGTGATATTTCAAAACGTGTCAAAATAATGTGGTGACAAAATAGCTGATTTCCATTGGTGACAAATTCACAGGTACTGCTGATGCTACTATATTTTGTGGGGGGTTTTTTTATTACCTTCATTCATAATTGAAGGAAATGCTAAATTTCAGTTAGAAGTTAGTAAAATGTTACTTTTTTCTCATCCAAGTTTATGGATCCTCTCAATTTCTTTCAAGAACCACACTTCCCCTGAGGCTCTCTGATTCTCTGAGAAAGAGTCTTTGAGTTTATTTCTTTCGAGTTATAATAGTTGGTGTCACCCTATTTTTATTAAAATGTCTTTTTTCCTCAACAGTTCCTCCTCTACCCCTCCCACACGCTGCTGAAATACCTTTTGCTGAAAATAAGATAATTGTTTTGTTGGGTTTTCTCTCCCTGAATTTTTTTCATGAAATTGCCTGAAGATCTTTAATGTTTTTTTTAAGATTTTATTTAGTTATGTGACAGAGAGAGCACAAGCAGGGGGCGTGGCAGGGAGAGGGAGAAGCAGGCTCCCCTCAGAGCAGAGAGCCCAATCCGGGGGAATCCCATGACTCTTAACCAACTGAGCCACCCAGGCACCCCTGGAGATCTTTACTTTGATTTGAATTTTCAAATTAGTTCTTTTTTGGGAGAGTGGATATCAAGAGTCGACCCAGGTAGAAATATCAAAATTATTTTCCCTGTGTTAAAAAGAGTTAAATTTCTAAGGTGGTTCAAATTGTCTAGTGCATAGAAGCCTTGAGTCTAATTTTGTGTTTACTTAAGTTGTGTGAAATACTATTGGAGAAACAGTGCGTGAGCTAGAACAGTTTGCCGGTATAGGATTAGTAGGTATGGCCAAACTGTAAAGAGATTTGAATGCCAGACTGAAGAATTTGGATTCTATTTAGTAAGTATTGTGAAACCATTGATAATTTTAAGCAGAGGAATGACATAACAAATGATTTTTAGAAAGGTTAAAATCCAGCATGGCGTGATTGATGCTATGATGTGCTGAGAAGTGAGAAGCAAAATATTTGGGCAAAGTGATGCTGTGGAAGTATTATCAAGAGTTCTGCCACTTTCTTTTAGGAAGGACACATCTGCCACATTCCAGTCAGTTAATGGGTCGCCCCAAGCAGAACAGCCGCCATTGGAATCTACAAGCAAAGAAGCCTTCTTTAGCAGAGTGGAAACATTTTCTATATCCTTTTTTATTAGGTCATGTGAGCTGCACTTTCTCCCTGCTCCTGGAACTGTTACTTCTCCACTTACTCTGATGTTTTAAATTTAAGAATTAAACTTGGTAAGGGGCGACTGGCTGGCCCAGTTGGTAGAGCACGTGACTCTTAATCTTAGGGTCGTGAGTTCAAGTCCCATGTTGGGCATGGAGCCTAGTTAAAATTTTTTTAATAAGTAGATTTGGTAGGAAATTTTATAGGAAAATTAGCATCAAAGAATGTTGTTCCTCAAAGGGATGTTTGAGATGACCTGACATCACTTCTTGACTTTTTGGCTAAGATCAAATGTTGAGATGACCTGACCTTTTTTTTCTTTTTCCTGACCTTTTCTTTTCACAGAAGAAAACACTAAGAGCTTGAGAGGAGAAGAAACAATAACGAACACTTGTATGTAGCATATTTTCACGTATATTATCACATTTGATCTTCACCTTAAACCCATGAAAATAGGTATTATTATTATACTCATTTACAGAAGAGGAAACAGTTTCAGGTAGGTTATGTGACTTGCCTCTGGTCAACCTGCTAGCAAATGGCAGAGTCAGGATTACACCGTAAGGCTATTGGTACCCAAACCTAATGTTTTTTGAGACTGCCTACTACCCTTCCTGTCTCTTTCTAGACTTTCCTCTGTATATTATCTATTATTACATAATGAACTACAGTACGACTTAGTGGCTTAAAACAACCAACCACTTAGGTCACAATTTCTGTGGGTCAGGAATGTGGGCCCAGCTTGGTTGGGTCCTCTAGCTTAGGGTCTCTCACAGGCTACAATCAAGGTGGCAGCTGACCTCCAAGTCATCTCCAGGCTCCCCTAGGAAAAGATGCACTTCCAAGCTCACTCACATGGCTATTGGATTGAGGGCTTCCAGTCTGTACTGGCTATTGGCTAGAGCCCTCCCTACGTTCCTTGCAACATGGGCCTCTCCACACGGACAGTTCACAGCATGGCAGCTGGCTTCCATCAGAGTGAGCAAGTGAAAGAGAGCAAGAAAGAAGCTAGACTCTTTTTGTGACCTAATCTCAGAGGTGACATCCTATCACTTTTGCCCTTTTCTATTCATTAGAGTGATTTTTTAAAAAATATAAAACAGGGGCGCCTGGGTGGCTCAGTCGTTAAGTGTCTGCCTTCAGCTCAGGTCATGATCCCAGGGTCCTGGGATCGAGCCCCACTTCGGGCTCCCTGCTCCATGGGAAGCCTGCGTCTCCCTCTCCCACTCCCCCTGCTTGTGTTCCCTCACTCGCTGTGTCTCTCTGTCAAATAAATAAATAAAATCTTAAAAAAAAAAAAACATATATATATATATAACACAATTATAGACTTGCAGACTTTGTTACACAGGTCATAAAGAACTTCCTTTCTGAGCTACTTGTAAGTAAGTTGCCAAAGTGATGATACTCACTACCCCCAAATATTTCCTACAAACAAGGATTTTTTCCTACATAACTGCAATGCGGCCATCAAAATCAGGAAATTTCACCTAATAAATTACTACCATCTAACCCTCAGACCCTAATCATTTTAACAGTTGTCCTAATAATATTCTTTATAACAAAAGGAGCCAGTTGAGATTCGTGTTTTTCCTTGAATTTCATGATCATGATACTTTCGAAGATGACAGACCAGTTGTTTTTCAGAGTGTACCTCAATTCACATCTGTCTGATGTTTCCTTATAGTTAGATTCAGGTAGTGTAGTAGCCTCCCAGAATGGTGCTGTGTCCTCACTGCATCTTGTCAGGTGGCACAATGATTTTGATTTATCCCTTTCCTGGCGATTCCTTTGATCACTTGATTCAGGGAGTGTCTGTCCATCTTTTCCATTGTAAAGTAACTCTCTTCTTTCTTTGTAATTAAAGTGTTTTGTGCAGAGGTGCTTTGAAACTATGCAAATATCCCATTCCTCATCAAACTTTATTAAGTAGTAATTTATTCATAGCAGCCTGGGCTGCTTTTTTTAATTCAGTGGGTTATAATCCATTACTATCATGATATATTTTGATACTCTGGTTATCCCTGATTTGGTGAGTGGGGAGCCCATGGAGATTTCTTTACACCCTTCTTGGCTTCAACACCTCAAGGTGAGCAGCCCCTTTTTACCCACTTTGGGTTCTGACACCTGGCACTGAGCTGCCTCCCCTCACCATCCTGGCTGTCCTCCTTGCTCACCATCTGATAGCTTTAGGAATAAATTGCTCAGGAAGAGGAAGGTATTTGAATCCTGCTGCTGCTCCTTGGACTAATTCCTGATTTTGCTGCAGTATTTAGAACCGTTTTCTTTGGGTCTTTTTGTTTTCATGGATATGAATTGATCACCACGTTGGATATGACAATCGTTTATTTAACACAGCTAGTTAAGTAATTCTATTACTTTTATTTTTATTTTATTTACTTATTTACTTACTATTTTTTTAAGTAGACTCCATGCCCAGCTTGGAGCCCTTTAACGTTTATGTCTAAATTCTGTTTTCTGGGGCGCCTGGGTGGCTCAGTTGGTTAAGCGACTGCCTTCGGCTCAGGTCGTGATCCTGGAGTCCCGGGATCGAGTCCCGCATCGGGCTCCCTGCTCGGCGGGGAGTCTGCTTCTCCCTCTGACCCTACCCCCTCCTGTGCTCTCTCTCTCTCAAATAAATAAAAAAAGAACTGCTTTTAAAAAAATAAATACTGGGCGCCTGGGTGGCTTAGTCGTTAAGCGTCTGCCTTCGGCTCAGGTCATGATCCCAAGGGTCCTGGGATCGAGTCCCACATCGGGCTCCCTGCTCGGCGGGAAGCCCGCTTCTCCTTCTTCTACTCCCCCTGCTTGTGTTCCTGCTCTCGCTGTCTCTCTCTCTGTCAAATAAATAAATAAAATCTTTAATAAATAAATAAATAAATACATACATACATACATACTGTTTTCTAGCCTTCAGGCCCTCTTTTGCTGATTTGGAGTATTTTCAAATTCCCATATTTTAAACATAAAATACACAGGGCTTTGTAGAGAAAAAGTTAATAATTTTTGCCCCTCTGGTTATTATTCAAATGACTTTCATTATTCTGTGAAGTATGTGTGCTTTAAAAATAGTTTTTTCAAACTTTTCTTATTGCTTTTCCTCTTAATCTGTTTATTCCTGTATATATAAAAGAATGAGTTAAAGTTTTAATTTCTGACTTACTCATTTTAATATAATTGCAGCGTTGTTTTTCTTAATGTGAATACTCTCTGAAATGGGCAGGTAAGCCCTCCGAGCTGTCTCCACTTGTCTGTGCAAAATACGGCTGGGTCACAGTTGAATGTGATATGCTCAAGTGCTCCAGCTGCCAGGCTTTTCTCTGTGCCAGTTTACAACCAGCTTTTGATTTTGACCGATGTAAGTATAAAGTACAAATTACATTTTCCTCCACGTTCACAGATATATTAGACCAGTTTTTCTAAAAAGACCAGTCACCTGTGTTTGATCAAAGAATGTGTAGTGTTACATGGAGCAAGGTGAATTTGTGATCATCTTCATCTTAATTATTAGCTTCAGTTACTACTTTTTTAAAAAACTAAGCTATTTTAGAGTGAACCTGACTTTATGCATTCTGGGAAACTAACAGCAGGGTATGTTTACTTTATGGTTCCAAAATGTATACTTAGACAAAGAGACAAGGCACTTTAATGAAGCCTGTTGCTTCGAAATGCCCTGCCTTGTAAGACACATATTATCTCCTTTGTTATTGATCTTAGGATCTTGATTTAGAACTTGTTTTGTGAAAAATATTAAGATGATATAGTTGCTAATATTTTCATGGCTTTTAAAATTATCTTCGTCACTTTTATTTTTAATTCTGTCTATACTCTTAAAGGTTCTTGGCCATTCGATTTTAATCTATCTAGTGTTCTCTAAGGCATTACTCCCTATGTGGGTTTCAGATAAGGACCGATGTGCTGAGCTGAAGAAAGCCTTGTGCACCGCCCACGAGAAGTTCTGTTTCTGGCCAGACAGCCCCTCCCCAGGTACTCATTTCCAAGATATCCCATTTACCATCTCTTCTTCTAGTATTGTCTATTTCTTTGTGAAAATCTAGTCTTGGAGGTTTCTGTTCTTCCTTTCTATTTGTGCTTTTCAAGAAGAACTTACATTCGTCCACTTGTTAGGTTATTACTTAACTTTATTACAGGCATTCAACATGCCAGCAGCTTAGCCATGTATACATTATCCCACTTAATTCTCACGGGGGCCCTGGGAGCTAGATTCTCAACCCATTTTGGGGGGTGAGGAAACAGAGTCAGAGATCTTAAAACCAACTGGTGAGGAGGCAAAACTATGGTTTTATCTGATTTCAAACTCTCTGCTTTTCCCACCATAGCAAACAGTCCCATGTTCTCCCCAGGCTTCCTTTGGTGCACTGATGGTGGCAGTTAAATGGGGTTCGGTTGCTAAAGCAGACTCACGGGAAGCCAGATGAGAGTGATTACAAACATATAGTTTATCACAGTGAAATGACACAATATAATAGAGCCCTGAAGCTGAAGACTGCCTGTATAAGGGCCTTGGCAGGGCGCACTCTCTTGCATCAGGGGACTTTGTGATTGTCTTCACTCTATTATTAACTTCATTCGTTACTTTTTTTTTTTTTAGAACTAAGCTACTTTACAGTGAGCCTGACTGTGTATTCTAGGAAACTAACATCAGGGTATGTTTTCTTTATGGTTCCAAAATAGATACTTAGGCTAAGAGACACAGGAGTTTTATGAAGCCTCACACTGTAGAATGCCCTGCCTTATAAGATACATGATAGTGCCTTTGTTATTGATCTTAGGATCTTGCTTTAGAGCTTGTTCTGTGAAAAATATTAAGATGATGTAGTTGCTAATATTCTCCTATCTTTTAAAGTTATTTTAGTTATTTTTAATCGTATCTGTACCCTTAAAGGCTCTTGGCCTTTAAGTGTTTGTATGCACAAAAAAGCCCAAAATGTAGTAACAAGTGGGATTTTTTTAAAAAAAGATTTATTTACCCATTTTAGAGAGAGAGAGAGAGCGCATGTCCCTGAGTGGGAAGGGGGACAGAGGGAGAGAATCTTCAAGCAGACTCCCGCCGAGTACAGAGCGTGATACAGGGCTTGATCCCACGACCCTAAGATCATGACCTGAGCTGAAATCAAGAGTCAGACACTTAACTGACTGAGTCACCCAGCACCCCAGCAAGTGGGATTTTTAAATATTTTACTGGTTGGGGCACCTGGGTGGCATAGTCAGTTGGGCGTTGGACTCTTGGTTTTGGCTCAGGTTGTGATCTCAGGGTTGTGAGATTGAGCCCTGCATCAGGCTTAGCGCTCAGCACAGAGTATGCTTGAGATTCTCTCTCCCTCTGCCCATCCCTACCCCGCTCTCTCTCTCCCTCTCTCTCAAATAAATAAATCTTTTTATCAATAAATAAATAGATAGATATTTTACTGGTCACATAGGCATATTCTTGCTGGGTAACCAGCCTCCACAGCAGAGCCTTCCAGAAGGCTCACCAAGACCAGGTGCAAAACTTCATGCCTGACCAGACATTCGTGCCACGTAGGTCTAACTTTTATTTCAGTAGGATAGCTCAGGCCAATTCCAGGGTCACGGATGCCTGGAAATATTCCATGAATGACCACTAAGAGGAAAAAAGAGATTGAAAGTGGGGGCGCCTGGGTGGCTCAGTCAGTTGGGCATCTGCCTTTGGCTCAGGTCATGATCTCAGGGTCCTGGGATCGAACACCACCTGAGCAGGGAGTCTGCTTCTCCCTCTCCCTCTGCCCCTGCTCATGGTCTCTCTCTTGCTCACTCTCAAATAAATAAATAAAATCTTTAAAAAAGAGAGAGACTGAAAGTGTCCATAGAGTGCCATTTACTGATAAGGGGAGATAGAAAGGGACTGTTGAGGAATAACATTTTTAAAGTGAAGATGATGTGTAACAAGGAGTTGCTGCTGTTGGCCTAGCTATTTCCCTGTATAGTACAACTGAACTCAGTCCCACGAGGATGTGAATCCTTCTCCCAGTGTACCCAGTCCAGGTTTTTAGGATCTGCCCAGGACCTGTTGGTGGTTCCCAACTCTTATTATACACTCTGCTTTCTTGATCCACCTACTTGCAGACCTCTTAACTCCTATCCCGACTTTTCTTTTGAGCTTGACTTATTTTCAACTACCTTCTAAACATTTTCATGTAATGTCTTGTTGTAGGTATCTGGAATTCAATATGTGCAAAACTGAAGTCTTCATTTTGTACCTAAACTTTACTTCTCTTATATTTTCTCCATCTTAAATGGTACTGACCTCCCCCTTAGTTGTCCTAGCCAGAAACCTGGATGTCCCTTTAGATGCCCTTCCCTAGCTATCATCACCACCTGGTCCTGTCCATTCTACTTCCTAAATAGATCTCAAATGTGACCTTTCGATTATACCACCCTTGGTTTGGTTCTTTCACATTCCAGAGACTTTAGTGTGAAGAGAGGAAGACCTACAACTATTTATGCTTTAATGCTTACATTTATTAAGCATATCTAATAAATACAATTTTGAAGGTAATTTTTTTCTAACATTTACCAACTAAATTAAATCCCCTTAAACATTTTAATTTATAATTATAATTTATAATTACTAATTTACTAGACTGATTATTTTGAACATATCAAACACTGAAGTAGACAAAATACATATGTTAATTATAAAACAAATTTTAACTTATGTTAAAACATTTTCATGGTGGGTTTAATTTCTTCTGTTTGCTCTTTTGCCTTCATCAATTTTTACTAGTATTTTCTTAGGATTTGTAGGAAACAGACCAAACCCTAAATTGGAAAGTGACCAGAAAGGTGTTGGGACCTGGTTTTTTCTCCTAAGTTTTGTCAAACCTGAGCCACTGGTCATCAGAACATGTTTCCTTCTTATTGTTAAACCTCACTTGATTTTTTGTTTTATTTTTAATTTTTTATTTCTTAAAGGATTTTATTTATTTATTTATTTATTTTTAGAGAGAGGGCAGAGAGCAGGGGGAGGAGCAGAGGGAGAGGGAGAAGAAGGGGGAAAGAATCTCAAGCGGACTCTCCGCTGAGCCCAACTGGGGCTTGATCTCACGACCCTGAGATCATGACCTGAGCCGAAACCAAGATTTGGACACTCAACCCACTAAGCCACCCTGGCGCCCCTTCACTTGATTTTTTAAAATCCATACCTTTTTTGTTGATTGTAGTTTTTTTATAATTGGACTTTTCTAGTAAAATGATACATCTTTTTAAATTGATGGCATATGTCTTGACATATTTGGTTACTTGCAACAACTTTTAATGGTTTGAGAATATTTAATAACATTAGAGACCAAAATCTGGTTGCTGATGATACAATAAATGGTGAACAAAGTGCTGTTTTTACTTTTGTACCTCTTAATAACAAAACTAGAAAAGAGATTTTTTTCTTTTTTTAAGCATCCTTATGATTGAGGGATAATTGACATAAAATAGACCACACATATTTAGGTGTACAGTTTGGTAGGCAGACACTTAACGACTGAGCCACCCAGGCGCCCCCAAAAGCACATTTTAAAAAAGATTTTATTTAGGGGCGCCTGGGTAGCTCAGTCAGTTAAGCGTCTGCCTTCGGCTCAGGTCATGATCCTGGACTCCCAGGATCAAGCCCCACTTCGGGCTGCCTAGATATGCTAAGTGAACTCTTGCTCCTCCGCTCTCCAAGACTACCATTAAGAAAAGTGTGCCCAAGGGCGCCTGGGTGGCTCAGTCGTTAAGCGTCTGCCTTCGACTCAGGTCAGGATCCCAGGACCCTGGGATCGAGCCCCACATCGGGCTCCCTGCTCCGTGGGAAGCCTGCTTCTTACCTCTCCCACTCCCCCTGCTTGTGTTCCCTCTCTCGCTGTGTCTCTCTCTGTCAAATAAATAAATAAATAAATAACTTAAAAAAAAAATCTTTATTAACTAAAATCCATAGTATACATTAGGGTTTACTCTGTGTTGTACATTCTGTGGATTTTGACAAATATATAGTGACCTGTATCCACCATGACATTATCATATAGAAGTGCCTCACTGCCCTGAAAATCCCCTGTGCTCTCCCTATTCATCACTCACTCCTTCCCTCCCCCAGAATCCCTGGCAACCACTGATCATTTTACTGTCTCCATAGTTTTACTGTTTCCGGAATGTCATATAGTTAGAATCCCACAGCATGCAGCTTTTCAGACTGGTTTCTCTCACATAGCACTCTACATTTAAGGTTCCTCAGTGTCTTCTAGAGTTCATTTTTTTCGTTGCCACAGTTTGATATTATTGCATTCTATTTCATTAAAATAACTGGGTTGTAAATTAGGTAAATGATAAACTGATTTCAGAACCTAAGAAGGGGTCATAGCTGTAGTTTTAAAACTATTGCCTAAAATACAATGTTAGGTTTTTGCTGGACACAAAGGGCCAGACAGCTTGATCCCTGTCTTAGGAGCTTAGGTATTGTCGGGAAAGAAAAGTCTACATACATGAGGTATTTAGTAACAAAAGGGTAACAACAAAACAAAAGTAAAGGATCTATAAGAAACTAGGAGTTGAAGAATAGGAAGAACTTCCGAGTGCTGTAATAGAAACTCTGTAAAAGCAGGAGCTTTTGTCACTCACTGATCATGAGACCTGGGTATGTTACTTTTATATTCCTCAGATTCCTCATCTGTAAAATTTATATGATAATAATGTCAATCGTAAATTCAGTTAATTAACATATAGCGTATTATTAGTTTCAGAGGTAGAGTTCGGTGATCATCAGTTGCATGTAACACCCAGTGCTCGTGACATCATGTGCCCTCCTTACTGCCTGTCACTCATTACCCCATCCCCCACCCCCAGTCATTAAGAGTTTTATAACATTGATGTTCCTTCTCTCCATTCTTCTGTCACTGGTATCTTACAGGGATTATTACCTTAAATCACTTTAATGTCTGCTAAGCTTATTTTTTTTGCATCCCAACTGACCCCTTACAATCTCTACTCTAAATTATGCATGTTATCTATAATATCACTCTTTCAGTGGTCATGATCCCAGCATCCTGGGATCAAGTCCTGCATCGGTCTCCTTGCTCAGTGGGGAGCCTACTTCTCCCTCAGCCTGCCGCTCCCCCCTGCTTGTGCGTGCTCTCTCTGACAAATAAAATCTTAAAAAATAAAAATTACATGAAATTAAAAAAAAAATCTTTAAGTAATTTCTCATCATCATACATTAGTAAAGTCGTGGTCTAGTTACTCTCCACACTTTAACCCCACCTCCTACTCCTTTCCCCATAGGCAAACTTTGTTCCAGTCCCGTGAAACTATTTAGAATTCCGCATCTGTGCCATTCCTTTGGGCCTTTGCTTTTACACACAGTTGTTGGTCTTCTTTTTTTTTTTTTTAAAGATTTTATTTATTTATTTGAGAGAGAGAGAGCACATGAGAGGGGATAGGGTCAGAGGACAAAGCAGACTCCCTGCCGAGCAGGGAGCCTGATGCGGGACTCGATCCAGGGACTCCAGGATCATGACCTGAGCCAAAGGCAGTCGCTTAACCAACTGAGCCACCCAGGCGCCCAGTTGTTGGTCTTCTAATTCAGCTTAGACTGACTGCTTCTGAGAAACCCTTCTTGAGAATCTTCTTTTTTTGAATATTATCACAAAAATATCATTACCACCCCATCAAAAAAAGTCAGTAATTCTTAATACCTTCAAATATTTTATCAATTTTATCAGTACCTAGCCCCCATTGTTTTACACACATCTTTTATTTTTTACAATTTGCACCACATGATCTTCCAGTGTACTTTGTCCACAGATCGATTTGGAATGTTGCCATTGGATGAACCTGCTGTTCTTGTTAGTGAATTCCTAGATCGTTTTCAAAGCCTTTGTCACTTGGACCTCCAGCTTCCTTCCCTGAGGCCAGAGGACTTGAAAACTATGGTGAGTTTTTCTTGGCTAGCCTACAGTGGCCTTCAGTTGTCACTACCATTTGTATATGAAGCATCTCTTTAAGTGACAGAGGATTCAGATTGCTATGAAGAGAACTAGTTGTTTGTCCCTCAACTGACCTTCTCTAATCTCCACCAGAAGGGCAGCTATTGAGAGTTTAAGTAAATGGGTTCCATTGAAACTTCTAGATAGGATTCTTTAAATGGCACACATTCAGGGTGCCTGGGTGGCTCAGTTGGTTGAGCGACTGCCTTCGGCTCAGGTCATGATCCTGGAGTCCCGGGATCGAGTCCCGCATTGGGCTCCCTGCTCAGCAGGGAGTCTGCTTCTCCCTCTGACCTTCCTCCCTCTCATGTGCTGTCTCTCTCTCTCTCTCATTCTCTCTCTCAAATAAATAAATAAATCTTTAAATGGCACACATTCAATTTTATCTTGATTTGTTACTTAAACTATTTAACAGAAGATCCTGAAATGTGACTTCATATGGTTTATTGCATATCATTTCCCAAAGAAAATACTACAGGAGAAGTTAGAAACTCCCTTCTCCTCTGTGAATAGATATTAGAAATGCTCTGAAACTGAATATCTAGTACTTTGCACTTTGAAACTGAATATCTGTACTTGGAAGCTGAATATCTAGTGTCCCATTTCATCACCCTGTAGACACTCCAAAGACAAGCTTTACTGTAGGAAATAGGAGCTATTATTTTGTTTCTTCAAGTTGAGAGGCTGTTTGGATTTTAACCAAAGTTTAACTTCTGTGCCTATATTATTTTTCATTTATTTGTTTAAGATTATTTATTTATTTTAGAAAGAGAGCATGAGGGGAGGGGCAGAGGGAGAAGGAGAGAGAGATTCCCAAGCAGACTCCATGCTAAGCACAGAGTCCAACATAGGGCTCGATTTCATGACCCCAAGATCATGCCCCAAGCCAAAACCAAGAGTCAGACACTCAACCAACTGTGCTACCCAGGCACCCCAACTCTGTGCCTATTTTAAATGTCCCTTGTCACTAGCCAAGGCAGCTTTTTTGTTCACCTTGTCAGCTCTTTATTATTCTTAGAACAAAAATAAAGACCTTGGCAAGCTCTCTTGTTCTGTCAAGAAGTAAATTCAGTGTCAGGTTAAGATATAAATAGTAATCTGTTGTCATCACTTGGGTTTTGAAGTTTGCAGGTTTCAGAGAAAATCTGCACTGGTAAATTGAAAACAAAGTAGAACTAAGAAAAGATTTGGTAGTTCTAGGAAAACTGCTACCTTTCTCAATCAGCAGATGCAGGGCATTTCAGAAAGCTTCTGTCTAAAACCTTAGCCCTGTCCTAGAAGTGAGCCTTCCATAATGAAGAGGATTGTCTTCACGTTTGGGATTTCTTTCATGATTTTTGCCTTGTACCCTCTAGATACATCCTCATATGTGATTTTTGTGGTTGGAAATTTCAGTCTGTGACCTTGGTTCCTTTGTAGTGCTTGACAGAAGACAAGATCAGTCTTCTTCTGCACCTGCTTGAAGATGAACTTGATCACCGAACTGATGAGAGAAAAACTGCAAGCAAATTAGGCTCAGACATCCAAGTCCACGTCACTGCCTGTGTTCTCTCTCTGTGTGGCTGGGCGTGCAGGTTAGTCAGTGAATTTGCAGGGGGACGTGAACTCTGACAACATCATACACTGGTATACATCAGTCACTAATAGGATTGGAGATCCCATGGTGTTTCCTGTCAGAAAAACAGACAAAACCTGAGGGAGTGGCAAGCGGATGGTAAGAATCACTAACAAAAGCAGAATTCGAACTCAGGAATTCTTGGACACACCTGAACTTTGTTTTTTGTTTTTTTACTATCACTTCCCAGCTGAGAATCTGTGCTCTTGGGAACAGTGAAGCTCCTTTCTGTTTATAGAAAGGAAGAAAAATCCGTTGAATTCATAAAAACTACCAAAGGAAACGCCAGCTGGAGTCCTCAGGCCCCCATGTTGGTGTTTCCATTCTAGCTGCTCAATTTGGCATAGACTCCCTCTGAGATAGAAAACTGTTGGAACGGGGGCACCTGGCTGGTTCAGTCGGTGGAGCACTGACTCTTATCTCAGGCTTGTGAGTTCAAGCCCCCCGCTGGATGTAGAGATTACTTAAAAATAAAATCTTTTTTTTTTTTTTTTTTAGAGTTTATTTATTTATTTGACAGAGACAGACACAGCAAGAGAGGGAACACAAGCAGGGGAAGTGGGAGAGGGAGAAGCAGGCCTCCCACCAAGCAGGGAGCCCGATGCGGGGCTCGATCCTAGGACCCTGGGACCATGACCCGAGCCAAAGGCAGACGCCCAACGACTGAGCCACCCAGGCACCCCTAAAAATAAAATCTTAAAAAAAAGAAAGAAAACTGTTGGAACCAATCTAGATTTACTTTAAATATACTCTCTTTGATAGATTAAGGAATATTTTTCATTGAAAAGGAAAAAGTTTCAAAAGGAATAGGAGAAATTTATAAAACATAACCCTTAAGGTAGTCTTGCCTTAGAGGTTACACCAAGACCCTTAGATCTTTCTGTAGGAACTTTGTGAGAGATGATGGAGCTGGAGGCCTGAGATGACATTCCCAGTCCACTGGACTGTTCCAAAGATTTGTTTGATGAGATAAAGCGTTCTCATGAATGATTACACTTAGTCCCTTGGAAATGTTACCCTTTGAGGAAACTTTCTTTTCTGTTCCTGCCTAGTTCTTCTTTGGAACCCATGCAGCTCTCCCTGATAACCTGTTCACAGTGTATGAGGAAAGTGGGGCTCTGGGGCTTCCAGCAGATTGAGTCATCCCTGACGGACCTGGATGCATCCTTTGGCCTGACCAGCTCCCCCATCCCAGGCGCTGAGGGGAAGCCAGAGCGCTTCCCTCTTGTGCCTGAGTCTCCTCGGAGGATGATGACCCGGAGCCAGGATGCTACATGTTCCCCTGGCTCAGAGCAGGTATGGACTTAATTGGCTTGCTTGGGGTGGCCTTTTTAAAAAGCAGCATTTTTGCCAAAAGTGTTGTGGTGGAAAAGTTGGAGATGACCTTAGGTGGGTAAGCTTCACTTCTGACCACATTGACCAGATATACCGCATTGTTTTTATTCGCCAGTTGCAATGCAGAAGCTATATTCGTGATTTGGTATAAAAATCTATTATTTTTTTCAAGAGTTTAGTTTTGTCGATGGTTCAGAAAGTAAATTCTTAGAGTTTAAACTGTGTAAAGCATTAGCTTTCACCTGCTTCTAGAAAACTTTCTTCTGACCATTGTCCTTTATGTCATTGGTGTACTTCTGTTACCTCTTCTTTCCTTCAGGCTGAAAGGAGCCCAGGTCCCATTGTCTCCCGAACTCGGAGCTGGGACTCTTCCAGTCCCGTTGACCGTTCTGAGCCAGAGGCTGCTAGCCCCACGACCAGAACTCGGCCCGTGACCCGCAGTATGGGGACAGGAGACGGCACTGGCCTGGAGGTGCCGTCTAGCCCTCTCCGGAGAGCCAAACGAGCTCGCCTCTGCTCTTCCAGCAGCTCGGTGAGTCCACCTGTGTATAGAAGCCCCTGAGCGCAACAGGGCACAGCACGCCAGGCCCTCACCGTGTAGCCCGGGGAAGTGGGCATGAGCCCTTCCCGGGCCCTGTGACTCTACGTAGATCATGTCAGTAAATTTCAGGATGGGACAGTTGGGTGCCATATCTTTGCAATGGATTCTGGAGAGCTAGTAAATATTTCAGGCCCATGGGGATGGCAGTGAGATCAGGGGGACCGACCTGATCAGGTACTGTTGGTTTAACACGAAGGGAATGAAAGTATTTATAAAGAGAGTGGGCATGACGTAGACAGTGTTTAAAGGAGAACGTCAGACTGGAAATGTGGGCACTTGGGAGATTCTGGTTGGGACAGCTCCTAGCGGTGCCTCCCTGAATTGACGTGGCACCCGCCCTTCATCAGCACTATTTCTCTTCCCCCTCTCAGGACACATCTTCCCGAAGCTTCTTTGACCCTGCCTCTCAGCATAGAGACTGGTGCTCTTGGGTAAATGTCCCACTTGGCAAGGAAGCCGGGGAGCATGGTGGAACGGAGGTAGACACCAGGGGCCCCGCAGAGCCAGGCTGGAAGGCCGTGCTGAACATCCTCTTGGCCCACAAGCAGTCCAGCCAGCCGGCCGAAACAGACCACACGGTGAGAGAAGCCGCTGCCTGCGGGGTGCGGCCCTTGCTGTTCATGGGATGAGGAGCAGGGGCGGGTCCTGTAATTAGCACCCAGCCTGCCCTCAGCACTCGGAAGTCAAGTTAGACAGAGTCAGGTTTCGTCCCAGAGAATCGGCATGGAACTAATTCAGTCTTCCTGCAGTTGCTTAGCATTTGGCCTTCCCTCAAATTCTGGTAAATTCTTTGTCATCTTAACTAAAATGACTCAAAGTAGAGAAGGAGTACCAAATCAGAAAGAGAGGGGAGGCAGCTGCTCCAGCCCCATGTTGCAGAACAGCTGCTTTTTCTGTCAGTTGCTGTCACTTGCATTTGGAGCCTGGCCAGTTAACTTAGCTGTCTGGAGCCCTGTACTCTGACCCCCGGACGACAGTTTCATTCCGCACGGTGGGCACGTTACTTTGCTCTGTTCCACAGCCCCAGGCTTGGGCACTGAGCCTCGGCTAGCTGTTGCAGTCATGATCTCCGCTGCTTGCAAAGTGTGGGTAGATGCAAGACCACCGTGACAGCTGAGAAAACAAGTGTTTACTCTGTGTAAAGGGGGGAAGTGAGAGGAGGGTGGGCAATAAGGAATCATGGAAACTGGGTTCTCTTTCCTTTGCTGGCTTCTTCCCAAATCTGCCTTACAGCATTTCATGAATAGAATAATGTCTAACTCCCGTGCCCTCCAAGGACAAAGTAAAATAATACTCTCCAGTTGATGTTTACAAGAAGCGCTCCCAGGTTTGTGGGATTCCGCTGGAGAGAACCGTAGCATTGCTAAAAGCCCAGGAATGTACATTTGTACCCTTAGTAAACAATGCAAATGAAGGAAGGCTTCTCAAGTTTTTCCACAGGAAAAAAAAAAATCCTCATTTTTCCAATTTAAAAACTTTTGAAAATATGTAAAGCTATCTGAGGACAAATGTCTCCACCTATATTCTCTGCCCAGATCTCCCTGAAATAGAGTCTTACTGACTGCCCTCTGTCACTGTCTTACTAACAAGAAATCCCACCAGGGTTCTTGTGGGGTGTTTTGTTTTGGTGGGTTTTTTGTTTTGTTTTGTTTTTGTTTTTGTAGTGGGAGAAGTTGGCCTCCTAATTGGCCCTGGGTTCCAGGACTTTTGAGGTCCTTTTTGGTGGTTTGTCTTAACCTTCCCACAGCTGCTATGACTGGGAAGTCAGAGCTTAATGAGGCTGGATAAAGGATCTTGACGTTAGAAAAAAGTTTGTTATTTTTTTCAACCAGAGTTTCTTTTAACTTTGTCACTCTATTCACTGAATTCCCCTCCATCATTAGTAAGAGCTCAGAGTCTCCCCACCCCCGCCCCCAGACTTTTATTTTATTGAGACACTCATCCACAAAGAGGGTAAGAAGACAGTGAAAATGTCTTCTGATGTCCGAAAGTGGAGGTAACTTTATGGATTATCTTGCTCGGTGATTATTTATATTCTCATTGAGACCCTGTGCTCTTCACCGTGACTCTCACAGAGAGAACCAAGTGTTCTGATTCTCTGAGAACTTTTATCTTCTAGTGAATTGCTTTGTCTCCCTGTCACACCATTTCTCAGAATCTCAGATCACTTCATAGGCACGACCAAGTGGCAGTGAGAGTCTTCCTATTATTAGCTCTGCTGGCTGTAAATGAAGCTGAGAAGGCCAGGGTCATCATTTAACTTTGTTTCACCCCTTGGTCGTGGGTTGTATTGTTAACCCCGGCGAGGCATCACGTGAATGTGAATCCTTGTTCACAAGAAATAATGCACTGGGGCCAGTTCAGCATCACCAGTGGAAACCAGTGCAACACGTGTGCTGCACTAATAGTGGGTCCCAAGTGTCACACACACAGATTAGCACAGATGCAGACACTTGGGGGAGGACACGAGCCGCGGGTGACAGGCTCAGAGTGCGTTAGCGGTCATGTAGCTGTAGAACGCGGGCGTCCTGATTTTTAGTCCGGTTTTAGGTGTATATGACGTATACAATAGAAAGTAATAATATAAAGTTAGCTTGGGGCGCCTGGGTGGCTCAGTCAGTTAGGCGACTGCCTTCGGCTCAGGTTATGACCCTGGAGTCCCAGGATCGAGTTCCCGCATCGGGCTCCCTGCTCAGCGGGGAGTCTGCTTCTCCCTCTGACCCTCTTCCCTCTCATGCTCTCTGTCTCTCATTCTCTCTCGCAAATAAATAAATAAAATCTTTAAAAAAAAAAAAAGTCTTTGGGCGCCTGGGTGGCTCAGTTGGTTAAGCGACTGCCTTCGGCTCAGGTCATGACCCTGGAGTCCCGGGATCGAGTTCTGCATCGGGCTCCCTGCTTGGGGGGGAGTCTGCTTCTCCGTCTGATCCTCCTCCCTCTCACGCTTTCTGTCTCTCATTCTCTCTCGCAAATAAATAAATAAAATCTTTTAAAAAAATATATATATATATATATATAAAGTTAGCTTGTTTTTCTCAGTCCTAGACCTATCTAGATCACTGTGGGAGAAATCCACAGACCAAGCCTTAAAGCTGTTACCCCACCCTTCGTCTTTATAAAAGAATTTAATCTCTAATAATGAGCTTTTCTACCTATAGAGTCTGTCTGAGAAATCAAGGAAGGTATTCCGAATATTCCGGCAGTGGGAATCTTTATGCTCCTCCTGAAGATTTTCCAGCCCTTCCTGGAGAGAAGCGGAATGAAGGACTTTGAGAAATAAAGTCTGAATTCCTTTTTGGTCAGTGGATGCTAAGTTTTTCTCCCTTCTGGTTTAATCACAAGGAGCCCCTGTCCTTGCAAAAGGCAGTGAATGTCACTGTCTGCGTCGGACTGAGGGGGAGCCTGTCTCCAGGCGGGGTGTGGGCAGGTGAAGTACAGCAAGCCTGCTTCTGTTAAAGGAGTGTGGCGTTACCCAAACAGATGGAAGACCAAGGACTTGAGCACTTTCACTCTCTTTCAGTACGGGGCAGTGTTTTGAGGACTCTTACATCCTGGGAATATGACAGCGTGTATTAATAAAATATTTGTTAAATTTCTTACTGCTGGAGAACTGTGTTCCTTCTTGCCTCCTGGGCTGATACAAACAAGGCAGACACTGAGAAAACTTGAGCAGAGCACTAAACAAAATCTAAATTTCAGTTTGCAGATTGGCTACAAAGCCTGACATTTATTAATTTACTTGTGATTCTAGTCGAAGAGGTATTTCTTTTTTTTCTTTTTTTGGAGGTGGGGGAAGGGGAGAGAGAATCTCAAGCAGACCACACGCTGACCACGGAGTCCTATGCGGGGATCGATCTCACGACCCTAAGATCATGACCTGAGCCGAAATCAAGAGTCAGACGTTTAACTGACTGAGCCACCCAGGCGTCCCCCAAAGAGGTATTTGTGAACCAGAGGGTGTTCGTTATGTCACCAGGAGATCTCCCAGTGTGTTGTAATGAATGGCAGGCTGATAATGTTCACTTCGGCAGTAACAGAATGAGAGGCTCTAATAAGGGAGGAAGGTCCTTGAGGAGAGACCTCTCCATGTGCCTTCTGTACACGGCTCCCCTGAGTGGGGCTCCCCAAGGCCCCTTGACTGCTGGTGGGGAGCATCAGTGTCTGTGGTAGAGAAGATGGATCCTGACCCGTCCCATCTAAATAAGACTGCCCACAGATAATAGGGCCAGAAAGGCTAGAAAGTACTGTCTGAAATGTCATTTTCTTTTAGTAACTGTTTGGTTGGGTTTCTGATTCACTTCTTTTATACTGAAATATTTTAAAGAAAATAATAGACATCATAATATTCTACCCATGCCAAACTTCAGTTTCCATCTCTTAACAAAATACATTTTTTCTGTATTCTTCACCCAACAAAAATGAATGATCCCTTAACATCATCTAGTACCTGGTCCACAGACAAAATTCCTAAGTATTCCAAGATGTTCTTTACATTTGATTTGTCCAAACCAGGTCCAATTCAAGATCATAGGTTGCATAAATCCCTTTAGTCTGAAGGACAGTCCCTTTTTTTTTTAATGCATGTCAGATTTTTAAATTTGTCATTTTTCAGTCCTTATTTTTAAAAGGGTAAATCATGTTGATATCACTCCTAAATCAATCCTCTATCGGATGAGGCCAGTAGAGCTGTTCCCAGGTTATTTTGGTAGGGGTGCTCTTTTGCCTTTGGCATGAGTGTTCATTGTCAGTCTCCATGGGCCCCTTAGAGGTTGACTGGTGGGCAGCTCTCTGACATTCCCAGAAATGAGACTTTGGGCCCAGGGTGGAAGCTTTTTGCTCACTGGTGACTAAGTGAGTTTGGAGTCTGCCCTCTAGAAGCTCATATCCTCTAGGTCACCACTTTAGGAATGGTATAGAACCATTAACACAAGGTGCTCAAAAGGACTACAACCTAATCCCAGGTTATAATAATGTGGGTAAGTTTTTTAAAGTCTACTGCAATTTTTAATCTATATCTCCCTCCAAGGAAAGTATTCACATTTCTTTTAAAATAGGCAAAGCTCCACAAGCTTGTTTTGTGTGCGTGTGTGTTTGTGTGTTTGTGTTTAAAGTATAAATGGAAGCAGATTGCAATAGACTCGGTGTAATTCAAGAAATAGTCTCTTCCATGTGGGAGGCATTGTGTAAGCCCTTGTATAATGCAAACATAATCACTGCCTGTTTCTGCCCTCCAGAAGTTTATCATCCAGGCTGGAAGACATATCTATACACAAATGTTGCACAAGAATGCTCAATACTCTGGGAGAAGCATAAAAGAAGAATTGAGGGGCACCTTGCTGGCTCAGTTGGTAGAGTGTGCGACTCTGTTTTTGCTTTTTTTTTTTTAAGATTTATTTATTTGAGAGAGAGAGAGAGAGATAGCACGAGTGGGAGGGGCAGAGAGAAAGGGAGAGAGAAAATCTCAAGCACACTCCCTGCTGAGCGGGGGAGCCCGATGTGGGGCTGGATCTCACAACCCTGAGATCATGACCTGAGCTGAAACAAAGTCAGACGCTCAACCAACCAAGCCACCCAGGTGCCC